GCTTTGATGGGTGCCGGGTCGTGAGTTTCCTCACGGAGGTGGAGTACGCCAAGCCGGTCGGCGACGAAGTCAAGCTTCGAAGAGGAAGGCCTGGCATGGCTCAAAAACGAGTGGAACCCGCATGCCCACAGGCGAGAGTGTGGGATACTCTAGTGAGCCGAGGCGGATTGCGTCACCCGAGCCCCCCGCGTTGGGGGTGGCGGAAAAATGGGCCATCCGATGACCAAAAAGTGTTGAACGTATAGCGTCTTCCCCACGGACTGCGCCAACTATCGATATAGAAAGTGGCCAACTAGTGAATATTTGTAGTTTTGCTGTACGTTGTGATCGGAGGTGGCCTAGCACTCAATGACACATGATTTAGACTAGTTCGGGCAACGTGCCCTACGTCCAGTGTGGGTCTATTGGCGACTTTATTCCTGAGCCTAGGTGCTCAAAGTCTATAGTGGGGTTATAAACGAGAAGGAGAAAGGAGGGGTATACGAGAGGCCTGGTTAGGTCCGACCGAAAGGGCCGAGGGCGACCGGAACTCCGCTATGAGCTAGGTGTTCAAGCATGTGCTTGAGGGGTTTCTTAGCTATCGATCTAGTGAGCCTGAGCTTGAAAAAGTGGATCTCTGGAAAATCAATCTCCTTTGTTGGAGAGAGCGCATCCCCTTTTATAGATAAAGGGATGGCTTTACAGGTGAGAGGGAGAGAGTACGGATGTTTCTAAGTCTTGTTGCCCATGCCGAGTGAGGGTAATGATGATGGTTGGCACACATAACACTGTTGATGTTGCTATAGAATAGCAGGTGCACATGGGGGGTTGCGTTGGCTTCTTCAAGAAGGGTGGACATCAGTACTTGTGAAATGTTGTTAGTATATGAGGAGCCCCACCGCGTGTACCAGGTATGGTGAATCCTCGTGCCCACTATTGATGCCCAGAGGCATGTGGGGGCCCCAACGACGCCTACAATACTGTGGACATAAATGTCGGCACCTACAATACTGTAGACACAAATGTCGGAACCTCCCATACTACTTGTGTCAGGTCGGTTGTGGTGCACTGTTCCCGCAGGCGTATAGGATATGGTCCCGGTACCGTGTTTTGACTTTGTGCGCTGCTTTCTCCGTTTGCCCCTGGTCCCTTCCGAGTGGGAATCCCCGATCGGATGGCTCCAGTCGGTACTGGTCGTGCTAGTCGAAGAAGAGCGGTAAGCAGGCTTCCTATGAGCCGCCGGTCGGAGACGCGGGGTCAAAGTAGGAAGCAGCGTTTTGGGCCAGGCCTTCCGATCGGGGAGTCCACCCGGAGGCTATCGGCGCCGAGGCGAGCGCTCCGGTTGGAGAGGTGGGCCAAAGAAGTTGTCGAGTGGGCGTTCGTTCTTTCGGTGGACCCTCCGGTTGGCGACCGGTCTGTCCCCCCGGCCTGTTGTTTTGTAGACTTTTTGGGCCGGCCCATGAGCCACAGGCTGTTCTCTTGGGCCGAGCCCGGGCGTCGAAGCCGGTCCCCGAGGGACCTCGGGTTTATGAACCCGACAGATAATCTCTCTCATCACACACACCGACCCCCCCCACACACACAACATACTCACACAGCACACACCCACACCCACACACACATGCCATTGGAAACATAAGACCAGAAGGTTGTTTCACGTAGTATATTAATTATTTAGGAAAATCATTCAAGTGTATAAGCACTAAATTATTAGTTGGCCTATGAATCATCTAATGTTCCACCAAAACAAATCATTCTTATCTTAGCATTGATTTTAACTTATTATAGATGACTAACCTTTGTAAAAGCATGTCATTGTCTACTTGCATATTAGGGTCTAGAAACGAAGGTAGATAGACTAGAGCTCCAACTCAACAATGAGATGGAGAACATCTCCTCCTTCTCAGACTTGCTAGAGGATATCATAACCAAGCCATAAGGCTCGCTTGTTTTTCTCTACAGGCAGAGCTAGACAGGCCCCGTGCCAAATGAGAGAAGGTATATTGGAAGTTCTAGTGCCTAGCAGCAAGAGATGGAGATCCAGGGGCGAGGAGGACGATGACAATGGTCATGGTAGACAGGAGATAAGCCTGACTAGGCTCCATTGCATTGAATATGTGCATTGTATTGATCCAAATGATTTGCTGTAGGAATGCCATCCAACGATGGACTTCTATAGGTGGTATATAACTGAGAGGAAGATATAGCAATAGATAAAGAGAGATGGCTAAATATTTTGTTTCATGTCCTTTATTAGTCTTTGTGCGCTTTGCTCACTAGTATGTGTAGGAGCTCCCCGGTTGCTTGCATTGAGTGCTAGTGGCAGACTGGTTCACCATGTTAGAGGATCAAGGTGGTGGCCAATGCTCGACGAGATGGATGACCTATGGGAGCGCATATTGGCAGAGGACGGTGGCCGATGGCTAGGGTTAGCAGTAGTGAGCCCTAATGTGCGACAGAGAGAGCAGAGGCCAGAGTGAGGGGAGTTGGACAGGCACAACGCTCGAGTGAGTTGCTACTATTCCTTGCCTCTTTCATCTTTGTGCTAGGCCAGAGGTTGAAAATATTTGGCCCAACTCCTAGGACCAGACCAGAAAACTACATGTACTATAAAGACTTTTTTGGGCCACGCCTCATATCATGGCCCTAGGCCCAAAATCCATCCTTGGGCCCAGCCCCTCGTCAGTCCTCGATTCAATTTTCATTACGTAGCTCAAGTTTTAGACTTTTGCTCCATCTCATGTTGTTTAGTGGACAAGTCCTACACGCACGAGAGGTGAGAAACCCATCACCTTCTCGACTTCTATCATCTAAGCATGCCAAGCATGCATTACACAATAAAATAAAAGTAAACAAGCATGGTACAAAGTCACAAGGATCAATAACAAGTTAGTGAGCTCAAATAGGTACTTTAGGTAACTAGTCATATTGTAACATACCATGCATTTACTTAACATGTAGTCATGTTATGCCATTTGCTAATGAGTCAGGGATACTTAGAAGCTTGCCTTGAGTTTTGGGTGGTGGTGGTTTGACTTTGGTCATAGGGTCTCATCATTCAGGGTCTCCTCGTCACAAGGTTCTTCACTTATAAAAGCATGCTGCGAATAAGTACAAGGAAGTAAACATGATGCAGATATTTATGCAAGAACAGATGTACAATGATGCATAACATATAGGCTAGTAGTATACAACATAAGTTCTTAAAGTGTAAACATAGAGGTGTTGTCGAGGTTCCCATGAACTGTTCGGGGTGTGTTGCTGGACCATCCGCGTGATCTTGGACTATGAATGAGGCTAAATGGCTGGAACTGTCTAGTGGAACCAGGCTGCCCCAAGTGTCTAAGTGTTGGATCCCACAGACCATCTATCATAACTGGAGGATTGTCCGTGCAATCATACCCACAAGTGCTAGTAGCTTCGAGAATCCTCAGTGTGAAGTTTTGAACCCTAGTGTTGCACCTATTTTTTGTAATTATATTCCCATGTGTGCATAAGATATCTAGGACAAGATGAAGAGGAAGAGAGATGGGGCAGTTTGGGCCACGCTTGGTAGGTATCAAGACTTCTCCTTTGCAAAAAAGGAAAAAAACTTATGACAATATGCTATATAGTGTCATGAACTTGTGATGTTTACTAATTTGCCTCTAATGCCAAAATAGAATTCGTTATGATATGTTAAAGGACTAGTTTATGATGATTTCTCTTGTCCATAGTGACATAAACCTCATTTTAGTTACTAATCATTTGTGTCCCTTGCAAAACATCATAAAAATAGAATCATCATAGATCGCCACCACATTTCTAGTAGTGATTGGTTTGGAAAGGAGAGGCAAAGTGCGGGACTTCAATTTTGTGGTGCCTATTTGGGTATCGGTACGGTTCCTCGAGTCCAAGAAAGAAATCCCTAGGTTTGATCTTAGCTGGATGTACTAGCAATAATGATGGTATTGTTGTTGCTTTCTTGTTGAAGGCATTATCTATATATAGTTAGATGAATTTCTCTTTAGGGTGAGAACCTGTGGTACATGCTCTGCTGGTTGAATCATGGCAATGGCATGCAGCGTGCTCGTGTCGTTTTCTTCTTAGATGTGTGATTTTGGAGGGCCTTCCTCATGTTTCATGTGTTGTTATAGTTATGCATGAATTTGAAGATTATGTTATGTGTTGTAGCTTAATGTGGCATGGTGCTACAACATTACCCTTCAATAATCATATCTAATAACATCTTAGTAGCGATGCAAAGGCCAGGAACGGTCTTTGAATCGATTATATCATCTTAATGTAATTGTCTAAATTCAATAAAGTATTCTTTATATTGTATAAAAAAACATTGGTACCCAGCACAACAAACAAGACCTACACAAAAACCAATCCAATGCATGTCATTGTGTTGTGTCCATATTCAACAATAGCAATTGAAATTCTTATCCCCTAACTTCCTATCAGGTATATATAGAAAAACGTCTCCATTCATTTTTATAAAAGAATTGTTTCAGGAAGTATAGGAGTCCATACCATTTTGAAAAATTGAAACGTGTTCATATCTCATACACACATGCCGTTGGAAAGATAAGGCCATAAAGTTGTTTCACGTAGTATATTAAATGTTCAGGAAAGTCATTCAAATGTACAAGCACTAAATTATTAGCTGGCCTATGAATCATTTATTATTCCACCAAAACAAATTATTCTGATCCTAGCATTGACGTCGAATTGTGGAAGCAATTAACCATGAGAATTAATGCCATGAGCCATACAGGTCGAATCTTAAATACCCCAGAGATCTTTTAGAATTGTTTCATAAAAAAAGAGATCTTTTAGAATTAACAAATCTCATAGAGATATGGAGCACGTTAGCCCTCATGAGCCAGAAGAGAATGGAGAATTATACCACGTTGAAACAAATTGGAGACGAATATTGTAAATGTGTGCTATATATAAATCCCTACCACTAGAGCTAGCAGCAGACATATACACATTCATCATTCCCCAGAAATTTTAGTAGCAGCCAGTAAACCATGCCGTCGTCTGTCATTCAACAGCACAGCCATGCCACAGATCCTTCAAGTAGCATCTCTAGGAGAAAGAAGTGCACCGATGACATGGTATGGTTCATCCACCTGCCTATGCGCCAGGCCGCCAAGGCACTTGGCATGTCCTGCGCGACGATCCAAAGGACTTGTCGCAGCAACGGCATCCAGCGATGGCCTTCTAGGAAGGTATATATATTTGATATTAATCTTCATGAATCGATCAGCAGTTAATACATGTTATTATGTCATCTGACGCCTAACTATATATATGCTGCTACGTTCTGTACAGATTGGTGCTTTGGACCGCAAGATTTTAAAGCTGGAGAAGAACATGTTCCTCCCAAGAGACCGTGTAAAGAGAACCAAGATGCTGGATGAATGGAAAAGGTTGAGCCGTGAAAGGATGGATATCTACTGCAACTTCATGTCGTTGATATAATAAATTTAGTTGTAGCTCACCGCTTGCCGCATATGCATTGCAGCTATTATCGACCATGTTCGTGTTGCTTGGTATTACTATTACATTGGGCATATCTGTGTAAAAAGAGTACTACTACTCCTCATTTGCACCCATGCTCATCTATGTATCTGCTACAAGCTAGCGTTTATTTAGCCTTTTGCACCATGCATGACTGAAGAATATCTTTTTAATATATTTCATTATGCATAAATTATTGGAGAGGTCTGCCACTCAATATATTGACACACTCTTTTTACGCAAGCGCCTAAAAGATGAACATGTAAACAGCCTGAATGGCTGGCGTAATTATCTTCTACTCCCACTCCAGTTAACTGGAGTGTCCCCCCGGTTTGGTTTTCAGAAAAAATATATATATACTGACACACTCACACACTATCCCACTGGTTGTCCTTTTATTAAAAAGGAAACTAATATATATGCAAATTTTTTTCTTTAAAATTTTGATATATTCCGTCTAGATCTATTGAAACCGGCCTCCGTTTAATTTTGTGTGACCCCCTTCTACATCTTACAAAATGCCCAGAGAGGCTGCAGTTGATTCTTGATTGGTTGTAGTAATGCATTTGTTTGTGTGTGACACTCAAATCTGTCTGAGTATATGTATATATATAGTCACTCAGATAGGTTGGCCAAATGCTTAAATTCACTCGGTTTGGATGAATGAGTACGTATGATTACTTGGCTTGGTTGACTATATGCGAATATTCACTCAAGCTCTTGAGGAGATTGTTATACATTTTTTACCGATTGCCTATGATCAAAGTCAGAGATGGAAGATGAAGAATTGGAGTTGTATCTGATCGCATCAAGTTGAGAATCTATTTTTATGGAGGACTACATCGGAGTCAAAGGATAAGGCGGCGGTGTCTGCTGCCTACATCGGGTCTGGCCGTAGGACTTCGAAGCGCTAAAATATATACTGGCTGAGCATAAGTGAGTGCAGGATTTTATAACCTCTGCAAAGGCCAAATTAACATTGTCTAGGGCTCTAGGCTTAGCACAGAGAATTTCAGACTCCAGCCCGACGTTTGTCTGAGGTATTCAGGAATCAGGATTTGTTGGTGGTTCTGTCTGGCGTCTTCAGGTTCTTGGAGCAGCAAGAACATTATAAGTCCATGGAGTAGTGGCTATCTGCTTATGGCTATGAAAGCTTCGGTCTTCATCCATGGACCATGGAGTAGTGGCCGGCTAGCTGCGCACGGCTAGGAAGGCCTCCTTTCTTTTTCATCCATGGTGTAGTACGTGGCCGCCTAACTTCTTCTCTTCTGCGTCTCGACGCATTTTTCTTTGTTCTGGAGCAATTGTGGATCTCTCTCTCTCTTTTGCCGCTCAATCTTTTTGCACTGATTTCTTATCTGAGGTTTCTTGTGGGAGGAGAAGATAGGAATGAGTAAGAGGTGCCATGAGTAGAGAGCGAGCAAGATTTCCCTTGGTTCCAAGTGGATGCTTTTTTCCCTGTGAAATATACATGGCTCAGTTCCTCCTTTCCTCTTGAATAGAAGTTGGTTTTCCTGTGTTCCAAACGCAACGACACAATTCCTTTCCAAAGGAATGGCAAACTCCAAATTCCTACAAAAATCCCCTGATCCAAACAGGGTCTAAGTTAAAAGGGATGCTTGTACATGATGTTCAGAAGATAAAGAGAAGGACTAAAGGATTATCGGTCGACTCATGCTGATGATACTATCTGAGATCCAGAAAATTATTGTCTGATCTATACAGAGGGGCAATGCCTGCGTTTGTGCTGGAGTTCGGTGCTGTGACTTGAGGCTCAGTCCGACTGATTCAGGTACAGGAGCTGGCAAAGAATATGAGCAGTAGAGTTCATGTACGTATAAGAAGAGAAAGGTAAGCGTCTGAGAGGAGCTAAAATACCTGGAGATTTGTGTGTTCAAGTACAGATGGTCACTTGTATATATAGACCTTTGCCAACGGTGATGTGTAGTTTGAAGGTTTGAGTGCCCAACGTCTGTGTGCCCATCGGTCTCGATTGTATGATATGGGATGAAATCTAACCGTTCTGAACAATTGTCAACTTTTTGCTACAGTAAATTAATATATTTTATAATTTTGGCAATGATGCATGTAGATGCATCGCTCCGCACTTTTCTGGCTTTACTCCCAATAAGCATCACTGACTGAGTGTTGGGGGTGGATGCCCAAACACTCTACTTTTGGGCATCACTCTAACACCACGCTGCGGAAGGTCTAAGGGAGGGCACCCGTAGAAAATCGATTTTGCTACCTCTGCGCAAACAGCTGTGCGTCAGAACGTTCGACCTCACTTTGGTACTGCTTTGATGCTGTGAGTTAATTTTTTTATCGGTTTGAATCATCTGCAAGAGACAGTTTTACATCTGATAGCCATGGTTTGATGGCCACAGCGTGCATGGTTTGATTTTTCACCACCACGGTTCGATTCTCAGGCAGGCCCGTCCTATGGGGGAGGGCAGCCTGTGCGATGCCCATAGGCCCATGAGGCTGGGGGCCCATGAGGGTACCCATGTCTGATGTTGAGTTAGATGATTTGTTCTCTGAGTTAAAAGTGTTGCAAGTAACTTTGCCAGATCAATTGATGTCAGCATCTGAGATTCTTCACTTTGTTAAGGTTGCAGATTGCTATTCAAATGCCTCTATTGCATATCGGATTCTGTTAACTATTCCAGTGACAGTAGCATTAGCTGAAAGAAGCTTCTCCAAATTGAAGCTACTGAAAAATTGTTTGAGGTCAACTATGCTACAAGAAAGATTAAATGGCTTGGCTATGTGCAGCATTGAGAAGGATATTTTAGATATAATTGATCTTGAAAGTGTTCTTGAAGATTTTGCATCAAGAAATGCCCGAAGACGCTTTTTTAAAAAGCACTGAAGCACCGTAGTTTTATTTGAGGTAACCATCATAGTTATTTTGCCGTTTTTTTATCTTCTTTGATGTACTGTTACATTTTCAAGAAAAATTAAATATATGCTACAAATTATATACTTTAATCATACTATTCAAATATTACATTACCGGGTCCTTAGTGTCTAACTGGCCCAAGGCCCATAAAATTTGTGGGACGGCCCTGTTCTCAGGTACACTGAAGCTGCCGAAAGGAATTAAACTATAGCTGTATATTTGTTTATTTGGTATATGCATGCACACGTGTTTGGCTGAGTAGAAAAGGGCATCTTCTTGTTTAGAGGAGAATAACATGTATTATGTTCGGACTTTGGGTTTCTGGCCGTAGGTTTAATTAGGAAAATATATGTTCGTATAGTTTGACCGTTTGTGACTTAATCTAGGAAAGATCAGCTGCCCTATACAAACATAAAGCGTAAAGATCAGCTGCCCTATATACAAACATAAAGCATGACGGCAGATTTATAACATATAATCTAATCTACTAATACATCTATTTTTTTTTATCCTTTATTACCTTATACTTTTTCAATCTATTATTGCTTCTCGTTCTTTGTCGCCGAAAAGAGGAGAAGCATTACTCAATTGGTGGGACTAACACCAAAAAAATAGATTCTTATTATTTGTTTATTTATGTAATTAAGGATAAAATAGTAAATTCATATTAGGAGCAGGTTTTATGTAATTAAGGGTAAAATAATAAATTCAAATTACGACCAGGTCAGAAAATAGGAAGAAAAAAGAAAAGAGCGTGATAGCTAGGGTTTGATCTCACAACCTTAATTTAGCATGGAAAGGAAGAACTCAACGATTAGGCCATGTTGGTTTTGAGTGACATACTTATTTGTACTTTGTCCATTCACTTAGCGCTCTCTCTTAAGTCTCAACGTTTGAATTGAAGCATGTGAATGAGCAATACTATTTTTTTTTTTTGAATCCAGGTAAAACCGGTATGCATTAATATTGAAAATCTGGCAGAAATATTCGTAGGATGGCAACAGCTGAAAACATTAAATGGTTGCCACTCCAAACACAGGTCTGCAACCAGAGTATAGAGAATGAAACACGTCGTCTGATCCCTGGATCGGAGCGGCCGGACTAGGAGAAGGGGTAGGTAGGGTAGGGTAGCTGGGTAGGAGACGCCTCTTGGTCCTCGCACTATATAAACCCCCATGGGGATCTCCATTCCTCCGCAGCTAGCAGTATAAGCACATAGCCATCCAGTTGAGGAAGAAGAACTAGGCAATATTAGCCATCCATTCCATAGGGGAGATCCAAAGGTAAGCTAGGTTAGCGCGCAGCAATATAGGCATAGCCATCTAAGACAAGAGATCGTCGTTTCAAAAGGCAAGGTTATCCGCAGCTAGCAGCCATGGCCGCCGCTCCACCCCAGAAAAACGACCTTCTCCCTGCTCAACAACTCAAGACGACGATTGTGTACGAGCGCAACGTCTTGCGTGAAGTACGTACGAGCTCGACCACGTTTGTTGTCCCTTTTCGATTGCATTAGGTGGTGCGCTGTTGATCGAATATATGTGACTTATGAGGAGTATAATAACTTTTTCTCTCGACGCCTGCTTGCAGATTAGGGTTCTAGACGCGAAGATTGGTAAACTCGAGCTCCAGCTCAACAGCGAGCTGGAGAAGATCTCCTCCTGCTCAGGCTTGCTGGAGGAGATCATCGCCAAGTCGCAAGGCTCGCCGTGTTCCTCCCTGCGGGCCGAGCTTGACAGGGCCCGCGCCAAAAGAGAGCGGGCGTACGAGAAGTTCCAGCGCCAGCAGCTGGAGCTGGAGATCCACGACGACAACGTTCGTGGCGGCGCCGCTAACCCTCCTGCCGCCGCCGGCGGCAGCAACTAGCTAGCGCAGCAGCAACGAGCTGGGCGCGGCTCGCTAGCTTAGAATTAATTGTGCTGTATCTGTATGCGAGCTAGTTGAGTGATTTGTTCGCAATGTTGTTCTCTTCATTCCCCATCGTATGATGTTTTAATTTTTCTGTATGTGTCGTTGTATGCTAGATCTGATGTCATCAGTCAGATCTCAGCAGTAATATTTGTTGTTCTTCCTGATATATTTCTTTCCTGCAATTTTACATTTGAGTTTCTCTCTCTCTCTCTCTCTCTCTCAAGGATCGATATATGATGCAATGCAACGATGCTTACCAGTAGTTTGTGCTTCTCCAGAATTCCTTTTGCCGCGCCGTCTCAATGCAAGATAGATTATCGTTTGGGGGTGGTTCGGTTTAGGCTTAGCCCGCGCGGACGGCGCGGAAGCGGACGCGGTCGGTGTGACGGCGTCGGCGTGGGTAGGAGGGCGAATCCAGCCGCGAATACGACGAGCAGCAGGTCCGCCGGCAGCGAGCACCGTACCTCCGATCCCCACCATGCCGCCGCACGCCATGGGCAGGAGAGAGAGACTAGCTCATGCATGTCAACATGCGCGGCTGATGCGTGGGCATGGCTATTAGCACGTGGCCTGTACATGTCCTTGGTCAGTTGGATGAGCTAGAATCGGAAGGAACCCCGTCTCGATCCATTTGGTCGTAGGCAGCCGCCCGGAGCCTGTGTGTGCGATGAAGCAGTGTCAAGCAGATGCTCCACTTCATTCCTAGCCTGCGCGCTTGATTGTATAGATATGGATCGGAGCTCCTGATCCAAGCAAGCATCTCTGATTATCTGCGTCCGCGCTACTGTTTCTTAGGCATTTTTTCCTTCATATTGCCTGTTCCTGATAACTAAATGCTTCATGCAGCCCCAAGTCCAATAGCTACATTTTGTTTTTTTGGTCAGCAGATCTCACAGAAGTTCAGAACTGAGCAGCAGAGCACCAAAAATAAAATGTGACCCTGCGTCCCTGCCTATCACTAAAGTAACTGCTCATCAAGTATAAGCATCCCAAATGCAACTATTTCTCAAAATGCATTCGCCCTACCCCTTTCTTAACATGGCGATAATGTGCGGATGCAGCACCTCTGCTTCAGGTATGATCATTATCATAGCTGTGCCGTCATCATCAGGTTAGATCTACTACTAAAGTTTAGTGTCATTTCTGTTACCTACTGTGCTATTTCCAGATTTTTTTTCTATCCACAAAAAAGAAAGATGCCCACAGAGCAAGTACTACAGTGAAGGACATGCTGTTTTTTTTTTTTGATAACTGTGAAGGACATGCTGTTAGGTTAAGGTTATACTTATACTGCTTATATCTGATCCCTGGCTAATACCTTACGGTACCGTCCCTCTAGGAAATATCATTCCATTTAGGTCAGTTTTTCATTGCGTCCAATACATGCAGTGACTATATATGTTGATGTCCCCCATTTAGGAAGCTAAGGGGCACCATTCAATCCGGCCCTTAGCTTCCTTGTACGTATGGGTCGATGGATAGTGTCAGATCAGGTTCGCTCCATGGAGCAACCATCCCCATCATTAGGGCACAATGAATTTTTCTTCCCCTCTTTATACGAACGAGTTCCGGCGGGCCGATTGTATTGCATTGTATGCGGCTGACAACTGATGGTTTAATTTCGATCGAGATTCCTGCATTGCCAGTACAAAATATGGGTATACTGAATGTTTTTCAGCATTTCAGCGCAGAATATTCGGCAGCTTCGTGTACAACGTGGACATGATGGGCGACGATACATCTTGTTTTCTTTCTTCACGACTGTTTCTATATATGGACGAATAATTGAATATATACAAATTTTCAGTATGCGTTGATCAGTCAGTCAGTTTTAACCATGTTATGCTAACAGCAATAACCAGGTTTTGAAACATGTCTTGAGCAACGTATACGGAGAGCACTGTATGGCGTATAATTTGTGAATGAATAATAACAGAAAAGGGGATATCAACAGTAGACAAGAGGCATGCATGCAGCTGCCTCGATCTCTTACTGAAGGCTCAAATGTTTGTTCCAAATTTATGTACTTGCTCTACCCAAATAAATCAACTTTATTTTAGAATTGTTTTCAGTTAATTTTTTAAAATTCGATCGAATTTATAGAAAAAGCATCAAAATTTAGTGACACCAAATAAGTCCATAATATTAAAAGGCCCTGTTTGGAACAGATTAAACTTAATAAATAAAGAAAAACTGGTTTTTGGCTAGTCGCCCACACAAGCTTCTTAGGAGAAGAAAAAACGGTTTTTGGCTAGTCGCTTTTCCATGGCAGCGACGGTGATGGATGCCCAATGAGGTGCTCGCCGGCGAGGACTTTGCAGCGGCGAGGCCCACGACAGCGAGGAGGCGCATGCTGTGAGAGGGAGGGAGGGAGAGGCAGCGGTAGTTGTAGATCTTGGAGGAGACCGACCGGGGTGGAACTTGGTGGAGGCAGCACCGGCGGATCAAGGAGCGCGCTCGGCAGACGGAGCAAAGACCGGTTGGAGGTGGTGGAGACGATGGAGTTCAACGGAGAGGTCTAGGGGCAGTGGGGAGGGAGACGCTGAGGCCAAGTAAGAAGGCGCAGGCGGTGGAGAGGTAGGTGCCGATGGTGACGAAAAAGGCGCAAGTGGCGGGGAAGGAATGAGGGCAGGCGCAGGGCGGGGGAGAAGCCTGATAAGCTACTCGCTAGCGGCATTTCGGCTTTATATGCTTGGAGTTGTAAGCGCTCATGGAAAAAGCTAGCAAGAAGCTTTGCGTTTGGCACACACTGAGCTTATTTCTAATGAGGAGCCACATATATAGAGAGAAGAACATCAATAGGAAATAGTTTGATTACGTGTTTATTTGGTGTCATAAATATTGATGCCCTTTTCCTATACATATGTTCAAATTAACTTAAAAATTGACTTAAGACAAGACTAAAGCTTATTTATTTTTGGACGAAGGGGTTTGAGTACTTTCTAACATAAACCTTTTTACTTAATTGTTTGACCTGAGGCCATAAGAAATGTTGGGGTCATGGAAAAAAATGGCGGGCCATAGCGGCCAGAGAGGCTTGATGCTACGCTATTGCTCTTTGTGTCGTTATGCCAACTTTGACCGTTGTTGCGAGCTATAGGGCCGCTAAGTTGCATAGCTTTAGCGTTAAAATAGTGGTACTATTTTATATTTGCCTACTTTTCATTTGCTTACTAATTTAATTAGTTATTTTCTACTTATCATTTACTACTAATTTGGTATTTTGGACAATTAAACACTGGAGTTTCACGAACCATGTTGTAATGTAATATTGGTAATGTTACCTAGACTTGTGAAATCTTAGATACATATTTGTGTTCATCGAATTTCATATTTGACATGTTTTTGCATCAATTACTGGTGTATTTCATGCTTATTTTATAAAAAATGCTATCTATCGTGCCGCTATAGCGCCACTATAGCTTCATGGCTGCTGGAAAAAAGTTGCTGCTATTTTTAATAGCCCGCTATATATTTTAAACCATGGTTGGGATTCGTGTCATTTTTCATCCTATGAGTTCTGTGCGGTAATCCATCTACCACTCTTTTCGATCTTCTATGTATATATATTATATATATATAGTAAGAGTTGTTCCTATATTTACTTCTCCTACTCTTCTAGGACAAATTTCACCATTTTGTTGTTATTATGACATGTAAAGCTAATTGTATGATTAATAAACTCGCTTGTTTCATGGAGAGTGGTGATTTAACTTCATCCCCGAACCAGTTAAATTGTGATGTCATATCATGAATCCTTGAACTAATTCGTTTGACTCTTATTTTTGTCAACAATAATGAATCTTCATTTAGTCATTAATAAGCCAATTATATATTTTTTGCCTAAAAGCTTTTAGGAGCCAAGTTTTTTCTATTGTTGGCTCAATATGCAATGGTGCTCGATCTATGACAGACAATTTAATAAAAAACGTAAAATAGCTGATTTCGTACACAATGGTCTTTTATAAAAGCAAATGATACTCTTTCTCCGATTCAGTATATGTTGATTAAACCAGGATAAGGGTGAACGACATGAATATAGCTAGTGCCATGTTGGTTCAACAGAATAATTTTTTTATAAATCAATCTATGTTACCCAAACAGAAATAATGTACTACAATGTTAATTAGGAGCTCATGTGTTTTATATAGTTTCATGCACAAAATCATTTGTATTGCAACTCAAGTAAGTTTATTCTATAATTGAGTTTGCTTTTGGTGGCGTGCATTTTTGGATCGTGCGGTTTATTTGTACGGTCTAGTCCTTTTGTGTCGATGATCTAGAAACAATAAAAGATGACATAATTAACCTCTTGGGTCAAAAGTATCTTTTTACAAAGCGATCAAAAATACTTGAAACTGGCAACTTTTTCACAAATAAAATTTTCTTGGGATATGATGTACGTATATAAAATCTAATAACTTTATAATCAAGGTTATGACTATTACATTTCTAAATTGAATATTTTAAATTTATTAATAGAAAGAATTTTTTTTAAAAAAAAAGACTGACCGGATAATTAAAACAATTATATTATACATAATAGCCATGTTCGGCTTACCCTATATTCGGCTTGTTCGGCTTTTTTTTCAGCTGGAACAGTGTTTTTCTCTCACAACAATTCAGCCGGAACAATATTTTTCAGCTAGTTTCAGCCCAGCGAACAGGACCAATATAATATAACGTGGAGTACCTGTGTGGCCGAAAAAGCCAGGTAGTAAGCTGGGTGGCACACGGCATGGTGATTGGTCCAAAAAGGTTACTTTTTGTCAATGGTGAATACAGCAGCAGCGAGTAGTGGAGTGTGGAGCCAGCTAGCAGTCGGGACACGACAGGGAATGCAATATCCGGCCGCATCTATCTCATCTTTGTCAGCACTCACTCACTTTACCTTGATGATCACCCAGCCAGTGGCAAACTTGCTTTTAATTTGCAAGACATAAACAAACTCAGAAAATATATATTATATATAATGTTTACACATGCATGCCTTAGTCTTACATGGATCACTCTTTGGATCATCGATCGGAGTAACTAGCTCTTAGCTAGGCCAGTACAAGCATATGGTATTACATTAGCTCAAAACCTAGCTGATGATCTGCATGCATGCATGGTAACAAGCTTCGCTCGATCGGTGTTGAACATGCAGGTGGGCATTACACGCAACGCATAGGCGAGATGCAACTAGCAAGGGGATTGCTCGAGCTAGTAGCTTAGCACACACGTGCGTGCATCATACTAGTTACTACTAAGCATGTATATTATATATATTATGATGATGATGCATGGTTAGCTAGGAGATGCACGCATGGAAGCAACAAGGACGACATGGATCGGAGGACAAAGGAAGGAAGCAGAGCTAGCAGCAGCAGCAGAGACACTACCGAACCGACCGACCGACCAGATCGACACACACCAGAAGCGTGATGGTTGGGATGAGGCCCACCCTGCCACGCCTCCGATCCTTGGCCTTCATATGCCGCTGGCCTTGAAGAACCTCATGAGGCCGAAGGTGACGGCCATGGCGACCCAGCCGCCGACGACGACGCGCGCGCACGACCTCGCCACGGGGGCGCGCCCCAGCACGGCGCCGACGCAGCCGAACGCGGCCAGCGTGGCGGTGGCCACGGCGGCCACCACCCAGATCCGCAGCCTGTAGTCGGCGATGAACCAGGCCGCCAGCAGCGGCAGCAGCGCGCCCACAGAGAAAGCCAGTGCGGACGCCGCGGCGGCCTGCACGGGACTGGGCAGCGCCTTCTCCTCCTCGCCGCCGCGCTTGCCGTCGCGGTCCAGCCGCGCCAGCTCCACGTCGCGCTGGGAGCACACGGACACGAACTCACCGATGGCCATGCTGCACGCGCCCGCCAGCAGGCCCGCGAACCCGGAGATCACCATGGCGCGCGCGTCCGCCTTCACGGCGCCCACGCCCAGCATCAGCGACGCCGTCGACACCAGCCCGTCGTTCGCGCCCAGCACCGCCGCGCGCAGCCAGTTGCCGCGCTGCGACAGGTCGTCGTCGGAGTCGGAGTCCACCACCGCGCACGGCGGCCCGACGACGATGGTGGTCGCCGGGTTCTCCGCGTCCACCACGGCGGCCACCTTGCCGATGTTGCTGCCGCCGTCCATGCTGCTCATCATGGCCATGGCGATGTGTGTGTATGTGATCGGATCGGAGGAGTGACTCGATCGGGATATATAGCGGGAGTAGCAGTAGTGTGGCGGACACACGCTAGCTCGTGCCGCGTTTTATAGAAGAAGACGAACTGAAGGCCGGTGTGTGGTCTCTAGCTCAGGTCAGGATGTTGGTTTCTTCTTTAATTTGTTGCGTGCGGCCAATGCAAATGCGAGCCAGATAGTGGGGGATCCACTGCTTCTTTTGCTGCAAAAAAAAGCGTCTTTTTTCCCCGTCTCTCCTCCGGCATCGCTCTCCGGTGGCCACCGTGCCTGCCCATTGACACACACTAAAGCTGCTCGTGCTTGCCGATTGTATATATGCGCATCCACGGCGACGACCATGAAGTGCAAAAGCGGGCTAGCTATAGAGCACATCATATATCCAAGCCGGCCATGAGCTTGCCCCATGACAATTTCTGGCCGATTCGCCGGATGAACACGATGCCACATTTGGGAAAGGGTCTATCGTTACATGCATATTGCGCCACATATCGTTTTCGTTCTTTTCTTGATCTTGCAGGTAGTAGTAGTGGATGAGGCATCGGGAGAAGTAGTAGAGCGCCATCATCCTATTCTCTTTAGGTTAGTTGCATATTTCATCACGCATATTGGGCATCATCTTATTCTTAGGAATAGTTTGAGTCTGTGTATATGCATACTGATTTGCGTAGAAGCTAACTAATGAGTGCTCGAGCATTTCGTGTAAACGTTATGAATGATCCATCGAGCATTTTGCAGAAATGGTATCGAGTACACCATCGATAAGTTTACGTACGGAGATGCTACCGAGTGCTCAATCGAGCAATTTACGGAGAAGCTAACCAGTGCTCGAGCTTTTTAACTTTTAAGGGGAAATGCTAACGTAGATTACGAAAACGCTAATGAGTGCTTGAGCGATTTTAAAGAAACCCTCTAACCTCTTTTGGGTTGATTGTGATCGATCTAGCCCTTACTACTCCCACCAGAATGCCACCAATTAAGCAGGGTAGCGGTAGAAGAAGTAGTGGTAAGAAGAAGGAAAGAAAAAGTGGGCCGTCGGTTCATGATCGAGTGGCAAATCGAGCACGGTGTTGCGCTAGAATGGTGGAAAGCTGGCCATACGGGTCGTTAAACGTGAACTCATGGTAGCTGAAAACGCTTCTCCTTTTCTTGCTTTTGAAAAAAGAAGGTTGCCACGACACAGCAGAGATAATGGCTGTCGCTAGCTAGCTAGTTGAATAGTACTACACACTAGCTAGGAAGCTAGCTGGGAGACGTCAAGAACCGAAGAACCAGCAACCAAACCAAGAATGGCAATGTGTGGCAAAAGCTTAATTGTGGGATTACACATATCAACTGACGTCTGTATATATATGTGATGTCTCCATCGAATCCCCCTTTTTTTGGTCCTGAACTTACTAATAAAACTAAGTGAGACAGGAAATAACCAAAGATGATCATCCATGTATATGTCCTCACGTCGACGAATTCAGAACAAATTAATTAATTATGTCGTCAGGCTCTGCGATGAGCTGATAATCAGACACTAGCTCCGATCCTCTCTCTTTATTTTTTTTTAGATTAACACCTTGGACCTAGCTAGATAGAGTGCCAATCAAATTAAAAGAAAAGGCGTGATCTGCTATATATATCATTAGCTAGTATACTTGTGTTTTTTGGAATAATAAAATATATAATGGTTATTTGGACTGGCATCTAGGCTTTAGGCATACATGCATGCGCATCTACTGCTCATCATCCGTTGTGGCTTGTCAACAAGAATCCAACAGTTTTTTTTAATTTGCAGAGCTAGAGTACTGTAAAGTCAGCTTTAACTTGCTGATTATATATTACGCCAATATTTATATTTTTCAGGGTAGTCCATTGAACTCGGCATCCTTGTTGCAAAGTTAAAGAAGAGGAGCAACTAGCTAATAACACGGCACATGAATAAAACAAGTGTGATCACAAAGATTAAAAAGCTCATGTAGTAGTAGTAGTAGTAGTAGTAGTAATACATATGTATCCCTGTCGGTGACTGTTTTCTTTTTTGCATCTTTTGGAAAAACCCAAACCCAAAACCAAAAAGAAACCACGGAAATAAAGAGTGGCTCGAGCAGACACAAGCTTTGGAACGAAAGGGAGGATGACAAGGGACAAGAGACACACAATGCAACAGGTAGAGGTAGAGGTAGCCAGCACCCAGCAGCATCTATGGACAGGCAGCACAAGCTAGCTAGCTAGCTAGCTTTGGTTGGGATTCGCTTTATCTGCTGCATGCGAATAACAGAGATGGCTGCTTGATTGTCGTTAAAGCTAGCAATATATATATAGCAGACGGGACGACGACGACCTGCATCAGATCATCGATCGAGTAGACACTAGACAGCAGTAGAGTACTTGCTGGCTGCTTGCCGCGATCGGTCGACGGATCCATGGATTGCGAGCGGAAAAGTAGGTCAAAAGTTTAGGTACGCGGAGGGTGCGCTGAGAGGCCGCCGGCTGGCCGGCCGGCTGGGCGATGATACGATCTCCATTACGATGGAATGGAATTGGAATTGGAACCATGCATGGTGATGATCTGACGTCGAGGGCATGCTGCATGCAGCTGCGGGCGGCCGGCCGCAGCAGGCAGTAGGTAGTGATGCGTCTGCGTGCATGGCGCGCGGAGGATGAGGGCGACAACACGGCGGGCGGGCAGCCGGCCGGCCGGACCGGGGAATTATTTGCATGTGTCGGCCGGGAGGCCGATGGAGAACAGGAGAAGCCACCAGTGGCTGCTGGGTGCTGGCTCACGGAGTGAGCTAGTGAGTGCTGAATCGGCGGGCACTGCACTGCTGGTGATGAAATTCAGGTGATCTGAGTACTCACCAGTACGTATTTGCTTGGCCTGGGGGCTCGTCGATGGGAGTAAAAATGCAGAGGGAGTGGGGGATAAGCATGCGCGCCACACGAAAGCCACCACCCTAATCATTCTTTTATCTTATCGCCTCTAGTTTTTTCGTTTTCACTCACTTGATTTGTTGCCCTGCTGCCACACTTTACGCCGCTTCTAGCTGCAGCGAGCGAGTGACTCAGTGGGCCGCCGGCCGGCCGGCCGGCATCACCCATCGCTGTCTTCCTCCCCTCTTCCTTGCTGCTTCTTCCCTTGCGTTTGGTTCGACAGAAGGATAGGGACGATCGAGGCGCTATATATTTCACTTCGTTACGGTATTTGGTTGGATGACACTTCTTCGAACGGGATCAACCTCAAAGGAGAATATATATTCTCTTAGATTCCCCTCAAAATCGAAAGGAGGACGACCTCATCCCTCAAATACGGCATGTGCTTTCTGTTTCTCTGTGCACGCTGCCACAACAGTAGTCATGGTAGGGCCTCTGAGCCAAGGATGCGATGGTCATGGCTAGGGATGGCAACGGAGAATTCCTTGGAAATGCCTCCACATCCTTGTCCCCCCAGGGCGGAGAATTACCCATCCTTGTCAAATCTCGCAGGGGAGACTTCCTCCTCATCCCCTTGCCGCATGAGGATTCCATACCTGACAGGGACCCGTCCCCAAGAAGTTAGGGCGTGCAGCAGCTGCAACATGCTCAATAGAATAAGAGCAGGACCACATGAGGAGCCAAGGAGTACGGTGTTGGTGTTGTGGAACTTTTCTGTGTACGGGGTTAACTCACCGGCTCGTTGGTGTTGTGGAACTCCAAGTGTCACCAATGGCTGGTCCTCCTACACCCGCTTGGGTGTGAGACGGAGAGGGATGGTAGATCCTCTAGCGGAGCCATGGAGGGCCAGTGTTAGGAACTTGCTGCATTTGCGGGCGGGTGGCCAGCATTACTTTGGTGCGGCAGTCGAGCACGAACCGTCGGGTAGAGGGGAGGGATGGTCGAGTGCCAAGTGGCTATGGTTGCAGCGCGAGAGATGTCTCAGACGGGGAAAGGCCGAGAGTGTCAAGCAGAGGTATACGGGGTGGGTAGTGGGGACTAGGGAGTTGGAACTCGAGGAATGGATAAAATGGAGTGGATGGAGCAGATGGACGGCTTGAGCTAGTTTATCGAGGCTTCGCGAGGAGCGGGTTTAGGGAACGCTCACATGTGTGTTCCACCCCTGTCAAACCCGACAGGGATGATTTTGCCCCTGTTTAGTTCCTTGTTAGGGTTAATTTAGCCCCGTCCTCATCCACTAATAAGGGACTTCCCTACGACGAGATCGGTTTGAGAGGCAGCCAAGGCGGCCTCCAGGCGCTCAGTTTCTTAGGTCGCCTCCCAATGACGACCCAACGCCTCATCCCGTTCATGAAGAAACGCCGAGCGTCATCTCCATTATACGAATCGGAGGAATCGGTGGAGGAGGCCGCATATGCCGCCGATTGAGCCTCAAACCTTGCCAGCAAGTTTTGAACGCCGGCCCATGTGACGTTCCTGCGAAACGAAAATTGCTGAGTTCAGATGGTTATCGGAAGGTCGGGAATGCAGTTCCAACATACCCTGGGATACGGAGGCGTTGGCGTGGAGGGAGATCCTCTTCTGGAATGTCGCCAGCAGGGCGCTTGCTATCCGCCATTGCTCTTGGTTAGGATTGGGTTTTCTAATCTGAGGATGAAGAAGAACGAGTTGTGCAGTGGTAGGAGTGAAGGCGAGCGCTAGATGTGATCTCTCGGCTATCCCCTGAAAGTATATATTTATGGCCAAAATTGACATGGGTAGGTTTATCGAGCCGCGACGGAATAAAGTGCAGCTAATAGAAGGCAAAAGGTCGTTCCAAGAATCAAGGAGGCCACGTGTGGCCAAATGGAAAGCAGCAGTTGTGGAGATCACGGGCGCAAGGAATTTCCATTTTACTAGGTTTTTCTGCATTCTCATTCAGTTTCGGGCTGCAGATTTGAAAAGTCATTTGTTGCAGTTTTGTGTTACAACCCAAACCCGGAGACTGGCTCTAAGGATTAATCAGTTGAAGACGGTTGCAAGAAGCTAGTTCTGAAGTTTTGGAAGGA